CTCATCACCTCACGTGGCTCAGACTTGGGCAGGGCAAAGCTGTTTGTTTCTGCCTTCCTATTATCACTTAAACATCTGGGCTTTTAAGAAGTAGAATATTTCTGGCAGACTTTTATTAATGCACTAATCTTGTGTATTTCATTTGTCCTCTTTTTGTCAGATCCTATAATGGCAAAACTGGGTGCCATCCAGTAGAATATCTATTTCAGATAACTGCTGTTTGACTTTATAGCATCATTATTTATGGCATAATTTAGACAAGAAGCCAATACATACTTTTAAAAATAGAAACCAGTAGAAGCTCACCCATGATTTTAGCTTCAAATCAGTAGAAACTTCCTGGATCCTCTCATACCTTTAAAAATTTCTTTTTGTGGTACTGGGATTTGAACTTGGGGCCTTGCTAAGCAGGTGCCTGCTAAGTAGGTGATCTACTTCTTAAGCCACACCCTCAGCTTTTTTCGCATTATTTGTCAAAAAGTGTCTCCCATTTTTGATCCAGCCAGGTTGGATCATGATCCTCCTCCTATCTATACCTGCTGTGTAGCTGGGCTAACAGGTGCATGCCACCATGCCCAGCTTATTGGTTGAGATGGGGTGGGGAGATCATGGCCTTAAACCATGATCTTCCAGACCTTTGCCTCCTAAATTGCTGAGATTACAAGTATGAGCCAGTGCACTCAGTGTCTCAAACTATTATGTTAAAACTGATGACATCAATTATGAAAGTATTTTGACATCATTAAAGTAAATGTTTAGGCAATGCAAGGGATTGTGGGATCAATTCAGCCATTTCTAAATCTCTTACATGTGGGTTAATTCCTACTTCTCTGTATTATTTCTTTTCATACACACACACACACACACACACACACTCATAATTGCTCCTACACATACTTAATTTGTGTGTTTGTTTATGAATTTTTAATCCAAAAACAGTGTGAAGATATCCAGAAGTGAGTTCAGACAGAGCTTCAGAATTTGACCCATTTTGTTAATGATCCTCTACAGAAATTCTCAAAAGCACAGAAAAGAATAGAGATAAGCAAGTGGCAGGAGTAGCCTTAAGCAAATATTTCCTTTAAATCTTCCAAAGTATCCATCTTAAAAATGCTTCTGCCACTGTGATTAGGAAAGAGAAATAGTGAAGAAACACAGAGATGCCTGATAGCAAAACTTTCTTCTAACTCTTTCTCAAAAGATGAATTTCAGCTTGCACCTGGCTGCTTTATCAGCTAGCGTGCCTACACAAGAACCATTGGTGGGATGATGGAGAGCACCATCCAGTCTGTGCTAACCATCTCCTACACTGCTACTGAGTGTGGGACCAGCAAAGCAGTCCATGTTTGGAACTGCAAATAGCCAGGATTTCATGATTGAGCAACCAAGACTCTCTCAGAACATCGGTCCCTCAGGCCATGGTGAGAGCACTCAACCAATCATCAGAGCTTCCTCTATACATGGTCACCAACAGCAATGTTAGTCAAGAAAAGTGGGTCAATTGCTTGAAAAGAGCTAACACATAGGATATTTCACAACTTTGTCTACCAGTTCTTGCCTTAAGCTGTACCCGAAGCAAACTCTTCACTTCCACAAGAGCTTCAAGGCTCCCAGATGACAACAACAACAACAACAACAACAGTGATTCTTGTAAGTAACAGCAAAGATCAGGAGAGGCATCGTTATAGTATGCCTACATCCTACCACCAACAGGGCCCAACTCAGCAGCCAAATTCAGGACTGGTACCAAAGAGTCACAAACACTCAACTTTGCTGTCATCAAATACCAACCTTTTCCCTTTTCTTTCTAGCATTGGGAGAAGAGTTATAAATAACTAGAAATGTATTACATAGCCCTGACTAATTCTTAACTTAGCTTCTGGATAAAAGAAGGAGAATAAGAGATTCTCAGCAAGGCAGCTCACAGGCCAATTTACTGATTAGGGAATTAGTTCTTATTTTCATTAAAGCATTCGATCTAAATGTCAAACACAACAATACCATGTAAATGACCATTCAAAGGGACCACAATTTGGGCTTATACTGCTCATTAGATGATTTTTTGTTGTTAATTAAGAGAAATTGGATGGTTTAGGCTCTCCTGGCTCCTTGATTACATCTGATGGAATCACCATGTGGTTCCAGACAAGTCACTGAGATTTCACACACCCCAGTTGCTGCTCCCACTTCACCTTCCACCCTCTTCTGCATCCTGAACCGTCACAACCTGCCCCGGTGGGTGTGGGAGTATGATGAGATTGGTACTGTGTGTGTACAATTGATTTACTGTGCTCTGTAATTACACATAACGATTTGAAATTTTTGACTTGGCACTGCATTTTTCATTTAAACTGCATCGTTCTTCCTTACCCTAGAGAAACAGCATTTACGTAATTGCTCTCATCGCGTCTACTTGGATATTATAAATCAGTCCTGCAATAAAAGACTTCCAGCGCCACAGCAAGCTCATGGTTTCTGGTATAACTTAGCACCTAGCATGGTTGTAGTGTAAGAGTCAGGACTGAACAACCTGCATTTATTGTTTATGAGATGACTGGAGCCTTCGGACCCTAGCTGCAAAAAAGAACAGGCCATGTGGGTCATGGGGTGGGTTGGGATGAGCTCGCATGGAAGTTCTTATCCAGAAATCAGGATTTACCTTTGCTCCAAGTCTTGTTGGATACCCTCACCTGTCCTAAAAGCTGTGGAGGTGTACATGTTCATCTATTACACCTCTTCTATTCTCTCTATTCGTGGATTCTGCATTACTGAATTAATCTACTTGCGATAAACGACTCATAATCCCAAAGCAATACTTGAAGCATTTTCACCGTCATTCAGAGACATGAATAGAGGGGGAAAAAAAAAACAACAATCTGAGTCACTATGCACCTGGCTCCTAGCTGGAGATGAATAAGGCAAGGTTCTACCTTCTTGACTCAGCTCTGATACAGTAAGCCAGTACCATACTTTTCATAGGTTTTGCTTTTTGTTGGTGATCTTGCTATTTAAAATGCTTCCAAGGGTAGGGCTGAGGTGCTACCACCTCAAGTTCCTCAAGGCTGTGATAAGCCAGATCTTTTTCATTCAGCCATACGTTAGTGTTCTTGTTGTAAGTTCAATGTCAATAAATCAAATCTGTATTAAATCATCTTTACACAGAAACATACAAAGCACTGTCCCAGGACAGTACTTTGTCACATGACATGTACTCACTGGTTGACCAAAATGTGTGACAGGGAGCTCCCAGGACCATAACTTTGAATACTTCCCACCCTCACCCAGGAGCAACTAGTCAACATTTGCTAATTCAATGTTTACAGCAACTTTATAGAACATAACTGTTGTGACCAATGAGAATGGAATCTACATTTATACTGGAAAAAATGCTTCATTCTACCTCTTGTACTATGACCAACCACATTTTTTCTTTTAGGTCAGTTGTTTTCAACTTTACTTGAACATTCTAACCCTTTGGAGTATTTTTTCAAGTCCTGATGCCCAGTCCGGCCCTTGTCCCAGACCAAATAATTGAAAATACCTGCAGTGCAGTTGCAAATTTGTACTATGATAGGCACCTGCCTGGCTTTAATAGACAACCAGAGCTGAGGACCATTGTGTCAGGGATGTCTTTCTGCTTCAATATTCTCTCCAAACTCTGTTCCACTCTTCTCTAGGGTCAACTGCTGAGCCTGCAAAGTTTTAATAAGATGCCACCAAATGAGCATCTTATTTACTTTTCAATTGGCTTTTTTTTTAAAATTTATTTATTTATTTTTTCTTATGTGGTGCTGAGGAATCGAACCCAGGGCCTCTGGCATGCAAGGCAAGCGCTCTACCACTGAGCCACCTTCCCAGCCCTCAATTGGCTTTTAAAAGGCAAAGTTCAACTACTGGCTGCCAAACTATTACCATTATGAATTATAGGCAGACTCCCAGGGCAGACCTGTCCAAGTTGGCTCTGCCCTATCGCCAGAGTTTCCCTACTTAGCTCAAGTGGACATAGGATGACCAGAAGGAGCAGATTGATTAAATGTGGCCAAGAAAGGCCAACTCCCTCACAAATTAGTATGATCCTGAGGAACTCACATGGTGCTGTACAAGTACGGTTTGTGACAGGCAGTAAGTTCTTGAGAATGCACAAGTCTAAAGGACTTGCTCCTGATCTTCCTGAGGATTCCTACCATTTAATTAAGAAAGCATCTTGAGAAGAACCAAAAGGATAATGATGCTAAGTTCCATCTGATTCTGAGAGTCAAATTCACTGATGGACTCCACGTTATAAGATCAAATGGGTCCTCACCCTCAAATTATAAATATGAGTCATTCACAGGCTCTGTCCTAGTGGCATAAATTTGTGTGTACTCAAGCAATAAAATTACTGTTTCAATTTAAAAAAAAGACAATGTTCAAATTATTGCTTTTCTTAACAACTGATATCTTTCTTGCTTTGCGTTCACACATAAAATTCTGCTCAGGCTCCCCAGCTCAGAATTTTATCCCTTTTGGCCTGTTCTCTAGATAAAATAAATGATATTTTGGTACCAGATTTCTAATCCAAGTGATACCTAGGAAGAACTTTGTAGAGAATCCTTAGACAAATATTTTTATTCCTGGGCAGTCATGTTTCCTCTAGGGATTATTTTTCACTCTTGCTAATCAAGAGGTTCAAGGTCAGCCTTAGGCCCTCTCTGAATGTAATCAACTGCAGAAAGATTTAGTCTGGAAATGTAGCTGGAGAGAAAATAACTTATTCACAATTATCAAAAAAGTTTTTTCTTCAAATGTGTTCTAGACCCACAGATCAGAAGCATCAGTGGCACCTGTGGTTTTGTTAGAAAGACTGAACCTGACCCTTGAGCCTCACCCTGGGCCTACTGAATTAGGATCTGCATTAATAAGATGTCAGGAGATTTATTTTCACATTCAAGGTTAAAATGTGCTGACTATACATCCAGCTTCAGCCAAAAGTACTCTGCTGTAGTGAGGAGAGTTTGGAATTTTAGCCAGGGTTCATATAAACTTATTGTGCCCCAGTTTACCCCATTAGCTACCAAAAGGAAACATCATACGATTGGAGTGGGGAAAATACTGAGTCATTTAATGTACAGTATTGTGTTTTGAACGTCTGAACATGCTACAAAATATCAATCATGAATTAAATATTAAATGTGAATTAATCATGTGAATTGTCAATGATCAGAATAACAACAACCAAATATAAACCAACACTGCTAATAGAAAAATAAACTCAAGAGTATCGGCTAATCTAATGACACTCGTGTAATATTTTCAGCATTACACTGGCATGAAAATTATCTCAGATGGCTTGATAGTGTTTCACAGATTTACAACAGATGACTTTTCCACCATGGTCTGCATACCAAAGAGAATGTTCATGTTGCTCTTTCAGAGTTCTTACCTACACTGGCAAGTTTCTACCTATCCTGAACAGTATTTCCCCTTGATTCAGACTCAGCTTGACCTTTTCTTGCCCTCACATTTTCTTTTGTTTGGGGGGGGTGAGTGGTGATACCAGAGTTTGAACTCAAGGCCTTGCTAAGCTGGCACTCTGTAGTACAGCCCTTGAATTATACCCTCCGTGACACTCCCACACATTTTTAAAGTGTTTGGATTTTATGTCTATACTCTAGAGAGTCAGGTCATGCGAGTCACATGCATGAAACTCTGCATGCAAACTTCTTTGTCTGGATATTTATAAGCAATACTGATTGGCTGAAATCCTTAGGAAAGATTCTAAGTGTCCTCCATTACACTAATTCAGGCTGAGACCCTTTTACACAGCTGGGTAACAATGGATTCCTCCTATGTAAAAGGAAACAAAGGTTGAAATAGATGAATTCATTCATTCATCCATCAAATATTTGCTGAGGGTCCACCATCTGCCAGTCTCTAAAAGCTGAGGGTACACTGTTGATAAGCTATCATAGCTCAGTGGATGATCTTTAAGACTCCTGGAGCTGATCTTTGATGATGCTACTAACATATTCATTCAGGGACTTTCTTTCTTATACCCCAGCTCATCTGGACCAGATATTATTTCTCCCATATTACTTGTCTATATCATTAAAAGTTAAGTCTTAAACTGAGCACTGGTGGTGGCACCTCTTTGTTCCCTGGGCTGGTAAGCATTTACCCAAGATATGACTACTTTCCAGGCACCGGTAGCTTACACCTGTAATCTTAGCTACTCAGAGGCTGAGATCTGAGGATGGCAGTTCAAAGCCAGCCCGGGCAGGAAAGTCCATGAGACTCTCATCTCTAATTAACTACCCAAAAGCAGAAAGTGGAGCTGTGGCTAAAGTGGAAGAGTGCTAGCCTTGAGCACAAAAGCTCACAGACAGCACCTAGGCTCTGAGTTCAAGCCTCTGGACACCCCCCCCCCCACATACACCCCTACACAAAGTTGGCCTAACACCACAAATAGCTCTTACCAGGGCTAGATTCTGGAGAGGGAAACACATATGATTCTAACATTCTTCTCGTTCATCTCTCATTCCAAGGCTTGCTTTTCTTCTGTATTTTGAGGCTCTCAAAAAAGGGTGACTGAATACATTTCCTCTTAGCTATTACCTTCATGCCCTGGGCTAGAGATATTGCACTGTATTTTCCCTACATGCAATCAAATGAAAGGGTGAAGACCAGGCTTCCTAGTTGTTTGTCCTCTGAAGAAGGGAAAAGAGCACCATCAACCTGACATGCAGCTGACATGTCAGCTCTACCAAGTATGTCTAGACAGTGTTTCATTTATTCTTCATTTAATACCTCATAAAATAAGTTCTATCATTGCACTCTCCCTACCCTCATTTCAGAGAGAGGAAGTTGAGGTGCAGAGTCAGTAAGGAGCTATCAAAAGATCAGACAGTGTTGAACAAGAGCGAGCCAAGGTTTAAAACCTATCCTCTGACTGGCAGGCAAGTGTCCTTATGCCCAATGCAACACTGCCTCTCATGGCAGTGTTTGGGCTTAGACACTGAACAATCAATACCTAAAATCCTAGGCAAGTCTACTAGCTTCAGTGTACTTGTTTGGGAAACAAAATGAAGGTATTATCTATTCTATCTCCTGGAGTTGCTATAGGATCACATAAGATGGATGTTACGTTCATAATGCAACCATTTACCCAATCATTCATCTACCTATCCATTCATCCATCATCCACCCACCTATCATCTACCCATCATCCATCATCCATCCATCCATCCATCCATCTATCCATCTATCCATCCATCCATCCATCCATCCATCTATCCATCCATCCATCCATGTTTTCCATTCATCCAATATTTGCTGAGGATCTATATTATGCTGGGCCCTAGAAAGGATGATGATAATGACCAAGTAAGACAGTGCATGAGATTGTGTGTGTGTGTGTGTGTGTGTGTGTGTGTGGTGTGTGTGCTGTTCCCAGGGCTTGAACTCAGGGTCTAGGCTTGTCTCTTAGCTTTTCTCTTTAAGGCTAACACTCTATCACTTGAGCCACAGCTCCACTTCCTTTTGTTGGTTAATTGGAGGTAAAAGCCTCACAGACAATCCTGTCTAGGCTGGCTTTGAGATTTCAGTCACCTGAGCAGCTAGGATTATAGGCATAAACCACCAGTATTCAGCTAGAAGATGCTTTTTGAAATGGAAAAGAATAGTTATTGCTTTTCTGGTAAAAGAGTAAGCTAAATTATTTATTCACCCATTCAACAAATAGTAAGCATATCTAGGAACAGGAGCATGGATGCCAAAGAGTATCTATAAAAGACAGGGCTGCATAGAGGCAAATGCATTTCTTATCATTTATTAAGCCATCATGGATCATTTGGAAACACACAGCAGCCGGGGGCTTTAAGGCAGCGTTCATATTCCAAGTAACATCTTACATGAAGAATTGCTGAAGGAAGTCAAATTTTTAGGTGATTTCAATTTCATTTAATTTGCCACAGTATCTTCCAGGCTAATGAGAGTTTCTGAGGAAGTGGTAATGCGTTCTCTGAATCCTAGCTCTCCTTTTTACAGTGACAGTTATCAAGGGAATCATGTGAAAGTCAAGAAAATTTCCTTTGCTTCTGTGGGAAATGCTCATCTAACTTCCCTGGCTGCAGGTTAGCTCTGCCATGCAATTGTTTACAGTCCATGGGTCTGAGTAGTGTCATCAAGATTTTCTATGAGTGACTTAGACATCACCTGCTAAACTCTTTTCCATTTGGGCTTTCCCCAAGTGGCTCAGAAAGCCCATAGTTCTGTTCTTGTGTAGGTGTTGAGGGCAGATGTAGACAAGCATCTACATAAAAGATGCCAAAGCAAGATCTTTTTATTTTGAATTAAATGCCAGAGAAGTAGCAGCCTTAAGAAAAACAATCCAGGCTTTTTTTTCCTTCAAAAATATTAAGATAACCATAATGTTTCCCTTAAGGAAAAGTGGAACTTCAGGAACAGTTCCCCCTGAAATGAACCTTCTGTCTCTGGTACCAGATGGGATTGGGGCAGCGTTTTACATTCCTCAATCAAACCCTTGAGAAAGTTGGTAGGGAGCCATGCCGAGGTTTTATTGATGTTTACATGCCCAATGGAGTTGGTCCTGATGGTATTTTAATGAGGGTGCTACATTTCTTGAACTCTTCTGCCAAAAAACGTTGCTTTCAAAAGACTAAGAGCTGGTGCATGCCTGTAATTCTAGCTATGCAGAAGGCTGAGATCTGAGGCTCACAGTTCCAAGCCAGCCCAGCCTTGGCAGGGAAATTTGTGAGATTCTTATCTTCAACTGGCCACCAAAAAGCTTGAAGTGGATCTATTGCTTGAGCAGAAGAGTACCCACCTTGAGGAAAAAAACCCAAACGAACAAAAATAAAACAAAACAAACTCAAGGACAGTGCCCAGGCCCTGAGTTCCAGCCTCAGGATGTGTGCCCACGCGCGCGTGTGCGGGTGCACACACACACAATGTCAGAAACACTGAGATTTACTCCCCTCATTAGTTATTCCTAAATTATCTCAAAATTCCAGAACTTTAGTCTGGGGATGTAGCTCAGTGGAAGACCATTTGGCCTCACATAGGTAAGGCTCTGAGTTTGACCCCTTGATATAAAAAAGAAAGAGATACAGTTGGATGAATATTATTTAAACCACCTCTTCTACCCATTTTTATCAGTTAAGGAAATCAAAGACCTCAACAGATATTGCAATTTTTTTAACTTCAGTATCAAAAAGTTGATAATAAAATGAAGACTCAAACTCCTTTTATTGTTGTTGTTGTTGTTATTATTATTGTCAAAGACTAGGACTTGAGCTTGGTATCTACCACAAAATTTCACTGACTGGCTTGTGTTCTAATCAAGCCTTTAATCCCAAATCCCTATGGTTTTGATGGTCATAGCACATAAGCACCCAACAGTCATTAATTTTCATATCAATGTTATTAAAAAAGACAAGAGTAGAAAAATAGGTTTGTGGTCTAAAATGGGTAATTCCTCAGTTGACACTGTAGTTATATATCTCAGGATCCAAATGTTGAGACTGGGCACAGGTTTGTGTAATTAAATAAACAGTGTGGTCTAGCAGTACAGGAACAAAAACCAATGAAAGATAACTGCATGCTATCATGGATTTTCCAGAACTGATGGTGTCTTATCTTCACCCAAACCTGGAATTTTCCAGATGTGGACACTCGTTCTTCACAGATAAGACATCCACCACTCATGACATGACAAGTCCCTCCGAATTTTGCCTAACTATTCAGAAAATATCACCACTGCTTTGGAATGGCAGTGTCTTGAGGATTAGGAAAAGAAACCTCTTACTATCAGCCAAAGTCACTACCTCTGGAAGATTATTTTCCTCCACTACAGTTAAAGATATTAACCAGTTTGGATTGTATTTAATTCTGTGGGTTTTTTTAATGGTACTGAAATTTGAAGTCAGAGTCTTGTGCTTGCTAGGCTGATATGACACTATTGTGCCATACATCTTGTCCTATTTTTCACTAGTTATTTTTAGGATGGGGGGAGTCTTTTTTTCCACCAAGCATATGTCTGAGATGTGATCCACTCACTTTAGGTTTCCTTTCGTTGCTAGAGTGACCTGCCAAATCCTCCACAACCAGCTTCACTCCATGAACATGACATCTCTTGAATTTTTCTTCCCTGGGCCATGGTCCTCCTAATTTCAGTCTCCCATGTAGCTTGGTATAATAGTACTGAGCCCAGCTACAGATTAAGAATGGGTTCTGAGAACTTTTCTGTCTAGGATGGCCTCAAACCAAAACTTCCTGATCACAGCATCCTAAGTAGCTAGGGTTATGGGTATGAGATACTGATACTCTAGGTTTAATTCTGTGAATTTTGATTATGAAGTTATATTTACATGAAGGTTTATACCTGGAATGCCTATATAGAGACATTAGAAGCTACCATTCATCTATCAAATTCTCCCTCTAATGAATTGACCGATTTATCATTTCAAACAACTAGAGAAGATTGTCACAGAAGTGTAAGATCTGGGCCTCCTACACAGCTCTTAAACTAGAGTAGGTTTATAGAATTTGAAGTTATAGGACTAACCTAGTCAAAGAAAAAAAAAACTAAAAGTAGAATGTGCAAAGAAAAAGATGAAAAGTTAAGGAAGGTCAATTAGAAGATCAACAGAGTAATGTGGTTATTGGGCTTAGAGGAATTCTTAAGAAATGACAGAAATCAATGAGAGAAAATTATTTTTAAACTCCAGGAACAGTTCTGAGAACACAAGAAGTATATACTGCCAGACTAGGAGGCTAGTTTGAAGGTAACTAGCAAAACTAGCATAGAGAGATAAATCTCCAAGAAAGATGGATGTCTTTAAGAAAAAGTAGACTCAGAGCACTTTCATAAAAACTTGTAGGTAGCACTTACTAGCCCTTTTAAAATATGAGGGTATCAAAGGCCAAGAAGGCTTAGCTATTGCTCCACAGCCACATAGCTAGTCATCAGTATAACTGGGATTTTAACTCAAGTAGTTCTGACCCCTACTATATAGCTTGATAGGAACTTAAGAACTTTCTGGACTCTGATTCTGCCATCCAGTGTATTTAGTCATCCTGCTAGACAGTGCCACTAGCACATTCCTGAACAACAGGGTACAACAAAGGGAATGTGGAAAAGGCCAGGGGCGGTGGTCCTAGCCCTTATTTCAATCCTAGAAAGTGGCCCATTTCCATTGATAGATTTAGGGATTGTAGATCAGGGCATCTTAAGTTAGATTCAGCTTTGAACAGCAGGACTTGAGGAAAAGCCAACTTTTCTAGCAGCAGAAAAGATGATCTCAATAATGTGGTTT